CATAAACGAACATTATAGACCAAAACAAAAATATTTCAAGATCGTGGAAATTAGAAAGAATTGAGGGTCAGTTGACATCATTAATTGCTGTCTTTTCTCATAATTTTCTTTTTTCTCCATGTCGGACATGGCCTTTGACAGAGGATAATAGAGCAACAATAAAAAAAAGCCAATCTTGCATGGGGGAAGGCTTTTTTTTTTTTGCAGTTGTTTCTCAATATGGCTTGCATTAATTACAACCTTTTTCAAAGTAACATATTTTTCCCCCGTGAACATTATTGCAACTTTTCTTCACTCCTAACAAGTAACAACCCTTTTAATGGCACAAGATAATGAGCAAGTATACCTTACTATCTTTTGTCAACAATCTCTAGAGCAAGCGGTTAAAAACTCTCAGCTGGCATCTCCCTCTCCCTTATGTTGTGGGTTCAGTACCCATTAGGAGCAAAATTCCCCTTACCCCTCCCCCTAGGTAAAAATTGTTAAAAAATATTACATTACCATCTTTTGGTGACATGTACCAGACATCTTAGCATGTTAACATTAACAGGAGTCTTTGTGAATCATGAGAAAAGAAATACGCAAATAACTCAAGTAGGCTAAATCTATCATAATACTGCAGAAACTGACATAATTATAGGCAGACCCAATCTCCTAATAAAAAGAAAACAATATTTAGTTGAACTGAAAAAATAAAATAAACTATAAACTTTAACGATACAATTCTTTATTCCAACTTGGGATTGGCTGTAAGAAACCTTTCCCTTTAAATCATTCTTGTAAATCTTAAGAAATCCAGTTGTCAATCCATAAAAAAACTAACCTAGAAAAAAGAATGAAGAAACTGGTTAAGCACCTTGAATAACAGCGCACGATGACGAGCCAAACCAATTGTTAAAGAACCAAGTGGCAAAACCATGCTGCCAAGGGTAGTTTTGAGACTGTAACTAAGACTTCGCCAGGCTCGGGACACATTACCAGGGTCTGCAACTGGTCCACCCATATATTCAGAAACTAAAACTGCAAGCTTTTGCACCAGATTGCTGCTTACAGAAGTCAAAGATTCTGATCTTAACTTTGCAGTCAACTCTAGTGCTTTTTGTTCAAGTTTCAACAAATTTGCATCAGAGTCTCTATTCACCATAACTGCTTCCCAAGAGACATTGTCTTCCACCAGCATCCCTTGCAGATCAAGGAGTGAAGGCATTCCTGCTGAAGTGGATTCGGTTAGAGTTCCATACAGGTCATAAAAGCCATCGGGGATCTTGTCATCATAATTCAGAGCATTATAATTCTGCAAAGCATGGACAATTCAGCGAATGAGCTGGCTAGCTATATGCTTAGCTAGTTAGTGTCGGGGGTTAATTTTCTAATTAGTTAATTTCATTGTGCAGTATGTGCTTGAACCTAGAGCCTAAGAAGCTGACCTGAACCCCAAAAACCAGCCAAAGCACGACTCAAACTCAAAACAATATGAGATGACCCTTAAGGCCTTAACTTATAGTGAATACAACACTATAATGAACAACTATAACACAAACTACTAGTTTATTACCAATACATTGCTCTACCTTAACTATTGCAATTCCATGTAACTTGGTAGAAACCTTAATTCTAACCAGAATAGTTGGTTAAAGCTCTAACAAGAAAAGAAAGCTAAAGATCAAGCATTGAATTACAAGATTCCAAAGATTAGTGTAGCACGTTACTAAGAATGAAAAGAACAAAAAGGGAAAAATAAAGCTAAATGGAAACATACCCAATATCTATATGCAACAACTTCAGCTGGAGTATTCTCCGGACCACAAGAGCTTAAACTAATTTGCTTAACAGCCTCAATCTGAGCTGCCTCAGGATCCTCCCTAGCACTCAACTCCATAGCCAATTGTATCTGATACTCCTCTTCTACCTCAGGATCCCTTGGGTTGTTAGACCCTGAATTGCGCCTCGCTCCATCCAAATCAGCCTCTAAACCACCAGAACTCACTGGGTCACTGGTTTCCATAGTTTTCTGATTCTCCTCCTTCAAATTTGAAGAGGATGGTGGACTGGGACTTTTTCTACTAGCAACAGAATTCAGCCAACTAGAAAGAACCGACGATGATTTATTATCGTCTTCCGATTGATTCGACACATGCAGTTTCTTGAGAATGTTCTTCATGTTATTTCACCAATCTATATAAGCATCCCAGTGCTAAAGAAATGAATTTTCTGACCATAAACATCTCCACTGACTTTGGACCGAAGCATGAAATATGAGCTGAAACTAATCCAAAAGAAGAACCCCCTTTTTCTTTTTCACCCAGGAATCAACCCATCAAATCCAGAAGCGGGAACAACCATAACTTGGAAGCAATACCCAGTACAGCTTGTCAAGTATGAAAAGGGCCCAGATGATCCAATTAAAAGAAAACAAGCCTCCTTTCCTCATACAAAGAAACATACCCAGGAGACCCGGCCTCCTTTCACCTTCAACTACCGAATAAAACAACCCAAGTTCAGAGATGGATGTTAGTGAAGAAAGCGCAGTAAGGAGTAGCTTGCAAGTATATACACACAGAGATATACACTAGGGTTTTTTTCCCCTTATATGAGAATATAACGAACATAAAAAGATGTTATATAGGTGAAATTGTTTATTGGTCCCTATGATATATATAAATTATGCATTTAGTCTCATACTCACATTCAATCAATTTTAATTTTATATTTTTAATTTTCAACGAATTTAAATCTTCTTATTAATAAAAGGCAAAAAGGCATCAGAGGTCCCTATAATTTTGAAAAAAACCAATATGACTCTCGTATTATTTTTCTCTCTCAATATGACCCTCCAACTCAGGAAATAAAACCAACGTGGCCTTTTGACCAAAGATTTTTTGTCGTTGATTGTTACGGTGTTGACGTGCCAGTTCACAGTGCTAACATGGTAATCTAGGGTGGTAGATTAACACGGTGGATGACAAGGCAAATTGGTTAAATTGGTAACTCAAACATGGCAAATGGACTACCACATCATCACCATGGATCGCCACATCACCACAGTGAACTGACACGCTAGTACTGTATCAGTCAACAACAAAAAATGTTGGTTAAAGAGTCACATTGAGTTTGTTTTCTGAGTTTGAGGGTCACATTGAGAGAAAAATAATACGATGGTCGTATTGGTTTTTTCAAAAGTATAGGGACCTATGATGTAATTTTGCATTAATAAAATCTCCCAATAAATTCTAGTGTAAACTGCATGTAGTATCTAAACTATCAGTTTTGGTCTGTTTTAATACCAAATCTTTTAATTTTTCAAAATCATACCCAACGTTTACTTTTCATTTTATTTGAGTACCCCGTCGTTAAAAACTAAATACGTTTAGTACCTAAACTATCAGTTTTGATATGTGTTTAATACCTAAACTTTCATTTTTTTAAAATTTAATGTTAAATTTTGAACGGGATAGTAAAATGAAACAAAAACTAAAGTTTCTGACGGTAAGATACTAAAACGAAATAAAAACTAAATTTTAAATATAATTTTAAAAAGATAAAAATTTAGATACTGAAATGAATAAAAACGGATAGTTTAGATACTAAACACATAATTTACCCTACATTCTAAAGTTTAAAATTCTTAAAAAGTGAGATCAAATAGAAACAAGCAAATTGGTGAATGAAGATGGACGGTTCAAAATATTTGGAGACAAAATAGAAGTAGTTGATGTGTATGCAATTGGATGCGTGGAAAAGTGTGCAGAAGAGAAGAGGATAACTCCATGGACATCTCAGAGGCATATACTATTATCATGCCTTTAATTTTGTTTTGTCCTCTTATGCATCATCTCATGCATGCGCTAACCCATTCGCCACTTTGGACTTGTCAAATTGAATCCACTTGCTTTACTTGGTAACCTTTATTTTTCCTACTTCCAGAACTTTCTTTCAACTTTTTCTATTATCATGGGTTTGTTATACGTAGAAATTTTTTTTAAAATAGAATCCCATAACTATATGAATTTTTAAAATTTTAGTGAGTAAACTTAAATTTACAAAATTTTAGGGACGAAAATATATTTTTAATAAAAAATATATAGTAAAATCTAAAATATATAATATTTTAAAAATTTAAAGGGGGCCACTACTCCCACCCATATACTCGATTCATCCTTGTTTGTATCATTTAAAAAAAAGGTAAATTATATTATTCTTCGTTAAATTTTATTCTCTCTCCTATTTTATTCACCGTACTTTCAATTTTTTTTTTATTTTGCTCACTGAACTTTACGGATTGAACCATTTTGTTCACTCTACCGTTAACTTTTTAATAGTGTTATGACATAGAACAAGTATCGAAACGATGTTGTTTTAAAAAACTTAAATATACACCAAAACGACGTCGTTTTGAATCCTCTTCTTTCCCCCTATTTTTTCTCTACTTTGCAAATAAGGTCGTCGGTTGATGTCGTCGGCCACCACGTCATTTTTCATTCCTCAAAATTCATGGGTTGGTTTGTCTCGACCCCCTGAGTCTAAATTTGGTGGTTGTTTCACCGGAAAATGTCACACCCCAAAAATATTGAGGTTTTATTATTGGATGAGTAAGTTAATTTGAGGACTAAAGTGCGAGGTTTTGATAATAATAGGCTAGTTTTCGAGTTTACAAGGAAGTTCGGGGACTTGAACCCTGATTTAACCATTTTCCCTTGGCTTGCAAAAAAAATGAAGACAAAGGGACTTGATCCCACGTTTAAAGCATGGCTCTCCATGCCTTAGCCATCACGCTAGGGCACTATTGGTGCTTTCAAATAATAAAGCAATGTTTTATAACCTATTTGAATCAGATCTAGTGGCAAAATCAACCTTCCAACTCCATAAAAAGACTATATATATATATTATTGGGTGTCTAAAAGCCATTGACATAGCATTTTAGTTGTATTTAGTGCATTTATGTCATATTTGCATGTGATGGAGAAACTTTTACCGCAACATGTTTTTCTTGATAACACTAATGTTGCTGGTGAGAAGGGTAGTTTGTTGTGTTGATTGTGCAGGTATGGAGAGCAATCGAGGAGAAAAATTCTTACCGTGACATTTTGGAGCTGAAGGCCTAAGAGACTGTCGATGCTGACCATGAAGGATCGTTGATGCAGACAGAGAGGAATTTCCCGCCGCGACAATTTTTCTTAAAATTCTGGATGCAATGCAAGACAAATTAGCTGATGTCGCGTGGCCAGCTGTCTCAAATATTTTTTTCTCCAAAGTAAGTTCTGATGATCTTCTATATACTAGGCTTTTTGTTTTTATTTTCTGTTTTCAGTTGCTGTGATGGCTCTAATTGTGGACAGATGTTTCTGTTTTTATTACCTAGGCATGAAATATGGAGTTTTTCCCTTGAAGGTTTTTATCCCACTGGTCTTCCCCTTCTAATCTGTTTTTTTGTTTGAACTTTGAATTAAAGAAAGTGAAAACCACATTAGGATGCTTCCTTCTACTTTCTGATGGGTAAGGAATTTCCTGCACGTACCTATTCACTGTGCAGTTTGATGTTATCTCTTGAGAAAAGTTCTTGAAAATTAGTTTAAGGCTAAAATAACCGAAAAGATCCTGAACTTTACCTAGATAAGCCCCTATATTTTTTTGCACTCAAATAAACAAAGGAATTGAGTATGCTAGCACCTAACCTAGGAGTTAAAGATACAAATGTTCGTGCCTTTACTTCCAGAGTATTCATGGATCTAGTTTTATGTCAGCCCTGTTATCATGAATATTTACTTACTTTTGTTGGTTATTAGAGCATGAATCAGTTGTCTTCATCATTTTTTTGTTGCGAGTCTTGATGAGGAAGGAGTGGTTCACTACTTATATCTTTCGGACATGAGATCCAAAATTTCATTTGCCTTTGATGTATAGTATTCATATAAAAATATTTTTTTTATTAGGCTATAATTGGAATTTCTGTGTCGTTTGTCCTTGTGCAGTACACTCCTGCGATTGATATATGGAGCATAGGATGCATATTTGCTGAGATGCTTGTAGGAAAACCACTCTTTCCTGGGAGAAATGTGGTGCACCAATTGGATCTCATGACTGATCTGCTTGGTACACCTTCTGCTGAATCCATATCAAAGGTTGATTGTTTTATTTTCTTAATTTTCTGCTGTATTTTGCATTTGACACTCTTTCCTTTTTTTCCTCGTCTTTGAGGTTCTAGAGATTAAATACTGACGAACTCATCAATACTTAATTTATTATGACCTCGCAGATTCGGAACGAAAAGGCAAGGAGGTACCTTAGTAACATGCGCAGAAAGCAACCAGTTCCTTTCTCAAAAAAGTTCCCCAATGCGGATCCTCGGGCTCTTAGCTTACTTCAGCGCCTACTTGCATTTGATCCAAAAGATCGCCCCACAGCTGAAGTAGTAAGATTGCAATCTGTTAGATTTGAATTCCCCCCCCCCCCCCAAAGAGCATGAACAAGGGAAGTATGCTCACAAGAGATAACCCTGAAATCGATTTGAGTGTGTGTATTGAGAAAAGGATTAAAAGTAGAAATCCTAAAAAATTGAAGGAAGGGATGATCTTGACTGCTACTTCTTTGATCTAAAGTTCTGTCGGCATCACTTCATCAAAGATATGACAATTCCTCTCACCACTGACACCAAATCAAGTATTAATGATTATTGAGCATGTTAGATCTTGACTTACACAGCTTCTGATATCCTTAATGAGAATGTACTATGCTTGCAGGCATTAGCTGATCCATATTTTTATGGTTTGGCCAATGTGGATCGTGAACCAACCACCAAACCAATTTCAAAACTAGAATTTGATTTTGAGAGAAGGAAACTGGCAAAAGATGATGTCAGAGAGCTGATTTATCGGGAGGTACTTGCCATGTGTGGCTTTGGTTTTTATGTGGCTTTTATCTACCATTGAGCTTAATCAACTCCTTACTTTGAGTGAACAGATATTAGAGTATCATCCACAGATGCTGCAAGAGTATCTTCAGGGTGCGGAGCAAACCAGCTTCATGTACCCAAGGTTAGAAAACACTTAATATTCTATAACTTGGTTTAAGTTTTCACATATAAATGGGAGCTATGATGTGCTTACCAATATGGAATTCAGGTCTAAAGTCTTTCATAGTTTCTTGGATACTCGAAAGTTCTTTATTTTCATGTCGTCTTTGAAATGATTAGCTATTTAAATGTATGCGATTTTCCCCTAGGAAAGAACGTTCTTTGTTCTGGTTTAGTTTCAGCACTTGACCTTTGAAGGAATTTTTGTAGTTATAAAAGAATAAAAGTATATTTGGAAGGAATTTATAGTGTTTCATGAATCTAACGAAAAAACTAGTATTACCCAATAGTCTGAACTTAATTAGTGTGCAAATCGGTTGAGGGGCACATAAAAAAGATACGGAAAGCCTGTTCGAAAACATATTCTGCCAGATCACAATTAATATTTTCTTTTCTTTTTTTTAATTCATTAGTGGTGTTGATCGATTCAAGCTGCAATTTGCACATCTGGAGGAACATTATGGTAAAGGCGAAAGAAGTACTCCACTTCAGAGACAACATGTTTCTTTGCCTCAGTATGCTTCATAAAGTTTTAGGAATCATATTACTTCTTAACCCGGGAGCTACTGTCGTACTTTAGATTGGGTGGAATTTAAATCAATTTTGCGTAGCGTATGTGTCGTGTTTGAATTAGCTTGATCAACTGTGTTATTTATTTTCAGAGAGCGAGTTCATGCTCCCAAGGATGAGCACATTGTTGAAAATAATGATACAGTTTTGAAGTCCCGGTTCTCAGACGGTTCAGAGAACACAAATGCAGTGGGGGGAAATGGCCCTAGCAAAGCAAACAGTAGTGCTCGTAGCCTGTTGAAAAGTGATAGCATTAGCGCCTCTAAGTATGTTGTGAAAGAAAAGAATGAATCAACGGTAGACTATTCTCTCTTTGTCTTGCAACCAACAACACTCTGCTGTGGAACCAAGTGAACATTGTGTATGTATCTTATTTATATGCCCACATATATTTCTGTTGCTGCAGGAGGAACCAATTGCTGAAGCCGATGATGAGACATTGGATGCCTTGTCTCAGGAGGTTACAGCTATTAACACGTGATCAGAACTTGGAATTTGCTTTTCGATATATAGTCGGCTTGGTGCGTTACCCATTTCCCCCCTGATTATTGGGAAGAGGGGAATTCATAGTGACGTACCATTTTTTTTTTCATTTTACTCAGACAGAAGCCAACTGTAAAACTATAGTATCGGGTAAGGCATGAGAAGAGTCCGGCTGTCATATAGCTTCACATTTGAGGAAGCAAGAGTTGTATTTTGTCTTATAATGAAAAAGGATAACACTACATACTGTTGTGTAATTTTATGGCTTCTGTTATGTGCTGTAATTTCTAGACTCGTACTCTAAGTGCAGGCTTGATTCGATCAATGGACATCTCCAGATCATGCGTGGATCTGATCTTTTCTCCCTGTTGGAATCATGGGTTTAATTTGGTTTAGTATTGCATTGAGTTGATACGGCTTCCCCAACCAAGCGAAAGAGTCAGAAGTGGCAATTGTTTATGAACCAAAGATGAAAATGATAAAAAATACCTTTGCATACTCTAATCCATGCTGGGCAGTTTGCACTAGTCTATATCTTTCTGTCCGGAGGGAATGGGGCAGCTCAAAATCGTTTTGGTAAGGATTTCTAAAGAATTTTGATGGACTTGCCATTGCTTCTTCACACAACTCCATATAAGATTGAGAAATGTCCGAAAGCAACCTGCACAGTGATGGCCGTCCTGTGACACGAAATGAAAGATCAAGGATCAGATGCGGAGAAGCCCGGTCTCATATTACACAATTAGAAATCAATTACCTGTGAAAAGTTTCTTTTCTGCAGAACAATGCTAAGGATCACCATTCAACGTTTCTCACTTCAGTCATAGATTGGTTCCCAAGCTAATTCGGATGTAAAGAAGTCAGGAGATGATGCCTATCCTTATTGTCCCACATGCCAAGTACATTACACGGGCATTTCCTTGATGTATACACAGATCAAATGCACTACATAGTATCATGGAAAAATGCTTGAAGTTCGATTAATTTTTCATTATTGATCACGGGCAAACGTCAGTCCAAAGAATCAATCATAATTAAACAAAAAAGATCATCTTAGTTTTACTACACTTGTAGGATGAAGACCATAAGGAGGTAGGCTCTTTCCACATGCAGCACATTGGTGATGTCAATTGTTAGCTGTTCCACTTAAAACAGCTTCTGATACACTGTCACCATTCACCAATAATCCCCACAGGAACATGAACCCTCCTTGAAATGGTGAAAACGGTTTGAATCCCTTAAGATAATCAATCGGCCCGCAATCTTTGATATGTATTTGATGGCATTGTGGCAGTCCTCACAAACACGCAAGTTTTTTATCACACGGATCGGTCGACTAGCAGGTATTGAGAGAATGCCATACGCCACAGCTAATTTTTCACTGTGATGCTTCAGCATCTGTTCCTTCTCTTCCTCATTTACGTCATGTAAAATCAAATTTGTAGAGGAGACATAGCCCTCCCGCTTCATTTTAAGATACAATTCTTCTAAATAAGCATAGATCTTATCCCTATCCGGGTGGCATGAGTCTCCGACCGAGAATGTATGGATCTTGTTCTGCACCTCAAGCCAACTATACCCTGGTACTTTCTTCACACCGGTATCCCTCATTTTCAATCTCATCTTACTAACATCAACCCACCTACCGGAAGCCGCATATAAATTTGACAGAAGAACATACATCCCTGAATTTTCAGGTTCCATTTCAAAAATCAACTCAGCAGCCGTTTCAGCTAATTTGGTATTGCCATGAATTCTGCTTGCACCAAGTAAAGCACCCCATGTTGCTGCATCTGGTTCAAAGGGCATATTTCTGATCAGCTTTTGGGCCTCATCCAATCGACCGGCTCGCCCAAGAAGATCAACCATGCAAGTATAGTGCCGCGAATTTGCTGTTATACCATAATCTTGGCTCATCGAGTAGAAATATTCCATGCCCCTATCCACTAAGCCAGCATGACTGCAAGCGGACAGTACTCCAACCTGAAGCAATAAATTATACAAGTAAAAAACTTGGCCTGTGTATCTCTAATGCAAGTTAAATTTTATATTTAATAAATAATTACCATAGTGGTATCATTTGGTTTGACACCAGCTGCCTTCATCGACCCAAAAAACTTCAGGGCCTCTATGCCAAATCCATGTCTTGCATAACCAGCAATCATTGTATTCCACGAGACAATGTCCTTCTCCATTATCTCTTCAAATGCACTGCAAGCTTCTTCTATGCCTCCACACTTACAGTACATTAAAAGCAGGGCATTTCCCACAAACGACCCATTTTCATATCCCGCCTTAACTAGCCGCACATGCAACTGCTTCCCCAATTCTAAAGCAGCAATATGCGCACATGTGCTCAAGGCACATGCAAATGAAGCCCTATTCAACCTTTCTCCATCTCTTTTCATCTCTACAAAAAGCAATAGAGCCTCTTCACTATAACCACTTTGAGCATAGCCGGCAATCATGGCTGCCCATGAGACAGTATCACGTCGAGGCATTCGATCAAAGAAGTCCCTAGCATAAGCTATCTCACCAGTCTGAGCATACCCAGTGATCATCGTATTCCATGTTGTTACATCTCGACATGGCATTTCCTCAAACAATTTCCTAGCCTTGTCCATTCTCTTACATTGCACATACCCTGCAATCATTGCATTCCATGAAACAGCATTCTTTTGTGGCATTTCTTCGAAAATTTCCCTTGCTTCATCAACCAGTTCATTTTGCACATAACCAGACACCATGGCTGTCCATGTAAACACATCTCGAATGGGGGACTCATTAAACAATCTCCTAGCTTCTTCAATCTCACCATTTTGTGCATAACCTGTAACTATAGTATTCCAAGATATTTTATCTCTGAAAGGAATCCTATCGAAAACCCTTTTAGCATCCACCAACATCTTCTTTTTCACAAACCCACCCATCAAACAATTCCAAGAAACCAGATTCCAATCCGACTTCGATTCGAACAGCCTACAAGCCTCTCCCATCCTTCCATTCTGCACATAAGTCGCAAGCAAAGCATTCCACGATATCGAATTCTTATAAGGCATCCTATCAAAAATCTTTCTGGCCTCATCAATGCAACCATTCTGCGCATACCCAGACAACATAGCGTTCCACGAAACAATATCCCTCTCAGGCATTTTCTCAAACAATTCCCTAGCAGCAGCAAGGTTATTGTTCCTCACACACCCACTGATCATAACATTCCAAGAAACCAGATCTCTCTCAGGCATTTCATCAAACAAGTTCCTCGCGAGGTCGAACCTACCATTCATCAAATAACCAGATATCATGGCATTGTAAGAAACCGAGCTTCGACGCGGCATCAAGCTAAACACATGAAGAGCTGCGTCCATCTGGGAGTTGCGCATGTGGTTAGAGATGGCCATATTCCATTGCTTTATGTCGGAGTCACCAACTGGTCTGGGTTTGTCGTAGTTTTTGGAGTTGTGGTTTATCTGAGTCAATTTCTTCTTCGAGGGGTACGAGTTTGGGTTCGTTTTTAGTTCGTTGAGGGAAGGCAACTGTCTCAAACGGTGTCTCCCGCGCAGAGCTTTCATTTTCAGGCTCAAAATTTTGCAAGAGTTTTGAGGTGAATATATATATATATATATATATATCATATATAGCCTTTTCTTTTAAGCGTAAACTACTATCAGTTTTAGTATATTTTAATATATAAATTTTTAAAAATTTTTAAAATTATATATAATATTTATGTCTAAACTACACTTTTTTTTTATTTAAGCCTCTAAATTATTTTTTAGTCAAAACAAGTCTTTAAATTATTATATGTAACCACTTTAAGTGCTTAAACTATTTTTTGATCAAAATAAGTCCCTAAACTATGTCTCTTTTTTGCTTCAAGCCCTTAAACTTTTTTTTCTAGAATAAATATCTAATTTTGTGTGACATGTCAACATCTTATTAGTCGAAAATATTTTTCTAAGTCAAAAAATGATATAACTTAAAATAATTAAATATAATAATTTAATTACTTAGTTTGACCAAAAAATAGTTTACGTGCTTAAAACAAAAAGATGACATAGTTGAAGGACTTGTTTTTACCTTAAGTTAATTAGTTTAACCTAGGCAAAAAAAATTAATAATGATATGAGAAAAAAAATCGTCGAATAATGCTTTGATCAAATTATTTGCTCGAATAGGGCTAATGATAAAATACAAGTTAAAACGCATGCATTACCATGCCACACCCAAGCATGGCGCATGGATTACCATGTGACCCTACAAGTTGTTCGAAGCATACCTTGTTATCAAATCCTGCTGCCCTAATATTACAAGTTGCTTAAATTATGCACAACTATCTAGATAATACAAATTGCTCCAAGTTGCTCGAACCATGCCCTACCATCTTGTGTAATACATACCCTGCCACCCAATGTAATCCATACCTAACACTTAAAGTTGTTAAAAATATTAGTTTTCCAGCTATATATATGTGTTAGAATGAAAATTAAGAAGAGAGCCACAATTGGTGAAGTGTAAAAGATTTAAGTGTTCATTCATGTGTTTTTTCGCCCTATTCATTTGGTACGTTTTTTCCCATTATTCTTACTTCAGTAAGTGTAAAATTATTTGTTTAATTTTTTGTTATTCTATATGAAATTATTTATTTAATATGTTAAAATTACATACGAAAATACAAATAAAATGAATTTTTGTTAAGTCAAATTGTTGAAAGAAACAGAAAAGTAAGTAGGTGTGAATAGATTTTATTTTAAGTATTTTACGATTTATTACTATGTGAATATTATTTTTATAATATTTGTAGTTGTAATTTACTTATACAAATTTATTGTTGTTGTTATGATTATAATATTTTTAATATAATATAATATCATTTTATGATTTATGATCATAATATAACTATTTATGTATCAATATTTTTAATATAATATAACTCTTTAATCACATTTGTAGAAATGAAGCAGATGATAGAATGAAGAATTCGACCTATTGTAGATGGTTTAAAGTATATGTTTATGGTATGTCCCAATCCAATTAGATATGTCGTTGTACTAGTTGAAGAAGATGATGATATTAGAATCATGATTGGAATACATGAGTCAAAAAATGTTGTAGCTTTTTGAGTTATTTGTTGAGGTGTGTAACATAATTGATGTTCTCGGGTCATCAAGAAATGTGGTTGGAAGTTCATCTCAAATGGCTTTTGGAAGTGAGCTTGAGGACCCGACATACAGGCCGATAAACAATTTTATGGTGCTATTGGAAAGTGGAAATGAAGTTGATGGGACATCCGCAGCAACATAGTGTGGGAAGAGAAATATACATCAGACGGAATTGATTGTTGATGTTGATACTTAAAATAGGTGGGGATAAATACATGATGATTCTATCGAAGATGAAGAAATTGAGGAACCCGTTTCGACAGACGATTACAATGTCTGCGGTGGTGGTGCACCTGATTTGGGCATCAATGAAGTTCCTACACTGTATCAAGTCACCCTCACATGTACGAGATATATTATAATGCAATGAGAGTACCTAAATTCCTAGACATGCCACAAGTAAACCCATATCACATGACTGAATCATTCAAAAATTCGGGTGACTTTTCAGTTGGCATGCAATTCGATGGGAAAAATGAAGCTACGTTGACGATTAAAGAGTATTTCATCAAAAGCCATGATGATGTCCACTCTGCAAAGTCCATCCAGAAAACCATATATGCAAAGTGTGTTAAATATGACCCAGAGTGCAAGTGGAAGATCAGAGTGTCAAAATTCAGAAGCACCAGGCTTGGGTCATCACAAGGTACAATGGTCCTCACACATGTCTGCAAAACTCCATCGAACAAGACCACCAATTATTGAACTATGATGTAATATGCGAATACATAAATGTGTTGGTTAAAAAAATCAGAAACACGATGCTTGGGTCATCACAAAGTACAATAGTCCTCACACATATCATACGAGTGGTTATAAGCAGGGATGGACCTAGGCATTACAGTTAGGGGGGCGGTCAACATATAGATTGTTGCATGAAAGTGTTAAGAACCGATTAATTTGATTATTTCATCAATTATCATATTGGCTTTGTAATAAATTTATTATATTTTTATTATCTAACAACTTTGTCCTAACTTGAATATTGTTCACACAAGAGTAATGCATTGAAATCTATCTCCTATCAAATGTCTAGAGCGTGACCTTAATTAAAATAAATTCAAATTAACTTAAACGTTTTAAAAGTTATTTTAATAACAATAATTCAATGAATTGGTCAACTTTTAATTAAACTAGTCTCACCTACCACAATTATTTGAGCACGTGTTTTCCAGCTCATGCCACATGCGCTATACTCCCAAGCTTCATGCAGTGTATTTCTTAACCATAACTCTATAAATTGGAGCATCAATCTAAGCCCTAAGCAACCAACAAGCAGCATCCAAAGCACTAAACCATGTCCCCTGCAGTTTCATTTCTCATCTTCCTCTTCTCGACAAGTCCGTTTTTCTCATCGGTAGCCACCGCCGCAAGGAAGCCGGTGCTCGATTCCGACGGCAAACCGCTCCGCTCAGGCGTTCAGTACTATGTTGTATCAACGATACAGGGTGCCGGTGGTGCTGCGCCGGGGCCACGCTCGGTTGAAAAACCATGTCCAAAAGCAGTAGTCCTAAACGGATATCAACTCGGCGTGCCGGTGTTATTTTATCCCGACTACAACGAAACCACCGTCTACGAATCCACCGACGTAAATATACAGTTCGTCCCCGGCGCGGACCCTGACTGCAAAACATCGACTACGTGGAAGCTCGACGACTATGACCCATCATCGGGAAAGTGGTGGCTCACCGTCGGTGGGGACGTAGGTAACCCCGGTCCCCAGACTTTGACGAGCTGGTTCAGAATCAGGAACGGTGGAAATGGTTACGTATTGGGTTTCTGCCCTTCGGTATGTGATTCCTGCATATCTTTATGCAATGAGATCAATAGAGTTTCTTATAATTCGAAGGTCCGTTTGGGGCTAGCTAAAGGAGACGGCGCCTCATTCTACTTCATGAAAGCATCGAACGCCATAAAGCAAGTCGTAGAGAAGCACTCCGAGTAAGGTTGAGTATTCACTCAACTTTCCGTTTAGTTTCAGCTAGTAAATGAACGAGCTGTTTGCTTCAAATAAATCTGGCTTTCAGTTAATGAAGCCTTTGTTGTAATGATTGTGTTATCTTTTCGTAATGTTTTCGAGTTAACTGAATTAATTGAATTAAAGTATCTGTTGGATAATTTCATTTTTAAAGCTTTTAAAATATTATTATAATAAAAAATAATATAATATTTATAAAAGATTAGATTGATAAAATTTTAAATATAAATTTATTATATTTTAATTAAGATAAAATTCATGCAATATATATATATTCTTAAGATTTAAATTATTAATACACCACGTCATGTTTAGTCGTATTATTTGGATTGAAAGATTATAGACTGTGTAGTTACAGTGCGTCCTACTAAGGAAAAAATGTTTTCCAACTATTTAAAATGGAATAATAAAAAGAAAAATTATTATTCTAATATTAATAAGGGAATTCATTTCATAAAGACGTGTGAAATGTTTAACAAGTGGAATTTTATTATCATTATATATCTTATATAGAATTTAGAGTTATAATATATTATAGACCCATGATTTAAGATTTATAATTTAAGATTTAAGATAATTTAAAAATAGTAATAATATTTATTTGTAAAATAATTCATTTGAAGTATATGAAATAATAATTTATATGATAAAAATAATTAATATAATAATTATATATAACTCGTTGCCATCACCAACTCTATATGTCCCCACTTGTACATTGAAGTGTTTATGGATGAAAACCAATATATAATATAAGATTTACATGTACGACCATATAATTAAAACTATTAAATTCACATATAAATATTAAAATTTGCACATGTTTTATTTAGCATTCCTATATTTTCGAGCTCCAAGAAATATAATAAATAAAAGATTCTTTATATTAAATTTTAGTCAGACGTGTAGATTTAGAATTACGAAATCAAACAATAATAAAAAACACTACCATACATTTATAATATTTTTTTGATAAACTACGTATTTAATATTTAAATATTAATTTTAGTTTGTTGTAGTATTTAAATTATTAATTTTTTAGTATCATTTTAGAATTATCAGTTAAAAATTTAACGTATTTAGTACTTAAACTATTCAGTCTTGATCCGTTTTAGTATTTAAACTTTCATTTTTTTTCAAAATTTGAAATTAATTTTTGAATGGAGATACTAAAATGAAACAAAAACCAAAGCTTTTAACGATGAAGTACTAAAATGAAATAAAAACTAAACTTTAGATATGATTTTGAAGAAATTAAAAATTTAAATATTAAAACGAATCCAAACTAATAGTTTAAGTACTAAATGATAATTTACCCTATACTTTTTTGACGATAACATTTATAATATATAAATTGAGCCAAATATAATAATTATATATAGCACGTTACTATCACCAACTCTCCGTCCCCACTTGTGTTGAAGTTCTAAACTTCTCGTCGTGTGTGTTTATGGATGAAAATTAATGTATAATATAAGGTTTATAATTTTATAACAGATGTACGATGCATATAATTAGAATTATTAAATTCACACATAAAATATTAAATTTTGGACATATTTTTCTTTAGGGTTTCCATATATTCGGAAGATATGTAATTTTAGAATAATGGAATCAAACCAATAATTAAAAAAAACCTTCTAGAACATTTCTAATATATAAATAATAATAAATTCAGATCATCATATCTGAAAAAATATTACGTTACGTGAAATACATTATTATTAAATCAATTAGGATGAATGCATGTGCATCACACTAAAAAATATTTAAAATAATCGCTCGTAAATTATAATACGCGAATTAAGTTCTGGTCACTTTATTTTTATATTTGTACATTTTTGCTCACTTATATTGTCGTTTTATAAAGTTTTGGTTATTTATGTTATCGTTTTATTAAATTTTGGTTATTTTGACATTGAATGTCGTTAGTTTAATGACATGATCAAGTTAGTAAAATGATTTAATATTTTATTTTAGCCCCTATACTTTAGACAAAATACTGATTATGAGTATTTTTTATAAATTCAAATTAGTTTAGCAGGGTTAATATTTCAATTTATTCATTTTTACTAGGTTGTCTTCCCAACCCTATTATTGTTTTATTTTCTCTTTGCTTCTTCTTCGGGTATCTCTGCTCCATTGCTCCATTTGCCTTCTTTCAAGGACTCATGCTACATTTCAAGAATAATAAAAGATTTCTAACTTTCGATAACAAATAATAACACCACAAGTTCAGAGAAAAATGAGAGGGTGGGCATCTAGAGATAAAATGAAATTGAGTAATCTCAGTTATACAAACTAAAATTTAATTTCCTAATATTGAGATTGCATAATACCAAATCCAACAAGGAATAAGAAGACAAATCAATGGATCCAAATAACCTGATAATTGAATCTCACTCTTTGTGGTGATTTTCCCTTGAGAAAGTGCTTCCGTTGAAACATAATCAATGGATCCAAAAACCCGACAACTAGATTCGTAAATTCATCCACTAATTCAATCCAAAATTCATGATTTTCAACATCGAATCATTTTTTTTTGCTTAAGAACAAGCAATTTTCCTATTCTAGATTCCTACGAATCATCATTAACCCCTACGGCATGTACAATCTCTCACACGACCGCAACCACGCCAACCTCCGTGTACCTCATTTCCAACTGACCAAAACTTAAGAAAACGATAATACAAGTGATCAAAACCTAATAAAACAATAATGTAAGTGACCGAAAGTGTACAAATATGAAAGGGAAATGACCAAAATTTTAATTCACATATTATCTATGTAGAAATGATGAAATTTTAATTTTATATATTTACCATGCTACATCAGTAAATTTTTAAAGGTTTAACGACCGTTAACCTTTAGTGATAATATCTTAACTAAAACAAAATAAAAGTGATAAATTTTAATTAAAATGTAACGAAAGTGACTAAATCTTGTGTTTTTTTAGATCAATGAGGAAAAGTTTGAGATTCTAAAGTTGATTTTTTAAAAGTTTGAGATTCATTTCGGACATAAGAATCATTCTATTATTCATGTGTTAGATAATAGAATATGATTATGTTTTTTTTTGCTCGACGAGAACGCATTTTTATTAAATAGTCATATATTAAGAGTCTCGTTAGAAATCTCCTTTAACTCTAGGCAGTAGAAAAGAGTACTCTTGCTCAGAGAAAATGAACCAAACCGACAACCGCTAGTTTTCAGCCCCGAAGCCCTTACAATACAGACCCTATTACAAATCAAATTACAACCCATGACAGAAAGCATAATATGATTATGTTAAAATACAAATTGAACCAAACATAATAGTAAGTAAATATAGCACGTTAGCATCACCAACTCTTTTTTGTCTCCACTTGTGTTTTAAGTTTTAAACTTCTCATCGTGTGTGTTTATGGCTATAAACTAATATATAAAATTTATATGTTTATTATAGATGTACGATGCCTTTCATAATTATTAAATACACACATAAAATGTTATAATTTGCACACGTTTTAATATAGTATCATTGTATTAAAAAATATATTCGGTAAAACGTAATATTATGTCTTTTTCTTTTAACAAATAAAATAATTCATGTTACTATCAAGATTGTCATGTAGGACAAAAACACATCTGATCGGTCACACTATTGAAATATATGTATGATGAATTACATATTTAAAAGATATGATTGGTCATGCATGTATTTATCCTACATGGCAGTTTATATCAATAAATTGATATTATTTTAATAATTAATAAGTCAATTTAGTAAATAATTGTTTAAATTAATAAACACAATTCTATCATAAATATTTTATGGGTAAACTATGCAGATAGTCCCCTATATTTAGAGTCTGATCGACTTTGGTCACTAATTTAAAAATTAGGAGGTAATGATCTCTAATGTTATCGATCCGTTCGATATTAGTTCATCAACCATTAATTTTCGTTAACCCCTTTTGTTTAAGTCCCTAACTTGGATGATGGACTAAAATCGAATGGGTGCTAACGACTGAGGGACTAAAATCGAAAAGATCGATAATGTTAGAGATTAAAATCGAACATATTGATAACGTCTTTTACTGTTCCTATTTTTAAATTAATTTCAATTACTCCTTGAATGAGCATCGAGCATTATAATGACAATTATGCTCTCTATTAGTTTATAATGTCGCTACGTTATGTATAATTTCGTATATTTATTTTCAAAATTTATCAAACAATATATTTTTATTGAAAAATTCTATAACGCTCGACGGACACTAATATGCACCACAAAGATGAGTACTATTAATTTAATTTATAAAAAAAAATTAAAGGTAATTTATTTAAAAAAAGGGAAAATTATACCGGTAACCACTTAATTATTGTCCCTTTTCATTTCAACCATCATTTTTAAAATTTTATCAATCAGACCTTTCAACTATTTAAATGCATTCAATTAAGCTACTAATCGTTAATATTTAACGGAAAAACTGATGTGACAGTTAAAATATATGATATAATTAACTACTTTAGCTCAATAGTTGAGCCTTGCTTTTTCAACCTAGAAACCTCATGTTCGTTTCTCCTCGATATCTTTTAAGCGATCAAAATTTTCTTAACTTGATTATGTTAATATATAATTTGAGTCAAACATAATAATTGAATATATATAGCACGTTACCATCACCAACTCTTTTCGTCTCCACTTTGCGTTTAATCTTTAAACTTCTCATCGTGTGTGTTTATGGTTAAAAACTAATATATTTCCAGCTTATATGACACATGCACTATACTCTCAAGCTCCATGCAGCGCATTTCTTAACCCTAGGGTTCCTCTATAAATTGGAGCTACAATCTAAGCCCTAAGCAATCAGCATCCAAAGCACTAAAGCATGAAAAGCATGTCACCTGCAGTTTCATTTCTCATCTTTCTATTCTCGACAAGTTCGATTTTCTCATCGGTAGCCAATGCCGCAAGGAAGCCGGTGCTCGATTCCGATGGCAATGCGCTCCGCTCAGGCGTTCAATACTATATTGTGTCAACAATATGGGGTGCCGGTGGTGCTTCGCTCGAGCCACGCTCGTTTGAAAAACCATGTCCAAAACTCGTAGTCCTAAACGGATTCCAAACTGGTGTGCCGGTGGTATTTTATCCAGAGGACACTAATGACACCACCGTCTATGAATCCTCCGATGTAAACATACAGTTCGTCCCAGGTACGGACCCTTACTGCCAAACATCAACTACGTGGAAGGTCAGCGATTATGACCCTTCTTCGGGAAAATGGTGGCTCACGATCGGTGGGGAGGTAGGCAACCCTGGTTCTCAGACATTGAATAGTTGGTTCAGAATTAGGAAAGGTGGAGATGGCTACGTATTTAGTTTCTGCCCTGCGGTATGTGATTCCTGCATATCTTTATGCAATGAGATCAATAGGATTTCTCATGATACCAAGGTCCGTTTGGGTCTGGCTAAAGGAGATGGCGGCTCTTTCCTCTTTATGAAAGCATCCGAAGCCATAAAACAAGTTGAAGAGAAGACCTCCGAGTAATGTTAAGTATGAACTCTACTATCCATTTAGTTTCAGCTTGTTTGCTTCAAATAAAATTGGCTTTTAGTTAATAAAGCCATAGCTGTAATGATAATGCTATCCGGTTTAGTCACTTTTACGATAGTGTTGTTAAATTAAGTGATTTCATCGAATCAAAATAACAGTTGGATGGTTGTATTCTATCTTAGAAAAGTAAAATACTGTTAAAATATTATCATAACAAGAAAATAATGCATTCATGGAATAGAACAAAAGATTGTGTAACTTGGGGTATATTTTACCCATTAATCTTAATTGGCTTGAATTGTCATCAATCAAATTTATGAGTTTAATATCTTTCATGAGATGGAGAAGAAAGGAGTCTTTCTCTCTTCTTTGGTCATCAATCATCCTCTTGATATGGATTTCCTATTGTCAAATAACTATCCACAAACGTTACAAATACTGAACCAGCACAACATGTCTGCCATTCATCAGAAAAAAGAAGACCACCACTTTCATTATGGATAGACATAAAATTTTATGTCAGAAGAACAACTATTTCGTCTCTGTATTCTTTAACCCTTTTGTTGGCTGTTGTTTCTCTGTTTTAGTGTCCCGTCTGATTAAACAGTGCTCTTTATTTATTTATTAGAATTAAAAAAAAAAATTAACGAGAGTTTTGATTTGTATGATTTTTTGTTAATCATATTTTTCGTGAAAAAAAAAAATCATCAACTCTCCGTCCCTAGTGCTGAAGTTATAAAATTCTCGTCGTGTGTGTTTATGGCGAGTCAAGTGAAAAGGTCCGGAAGGGAGAATTGTGTGACAGTGTTCGTCTTCAATATTCCGAAGTCTCTTCATTAGCAAGGTCTATGGCTGATATTCGATAAATATCAGCAGTGTAGGGGCAGAAGTTAGTGATGAGGATGTTAGATTTAGCTTGAAATTAAGTTGGCAAGTTGGAAATTTCATATTGATTGGTGGCTAACTTATTGAAAATTTCATCTTGGTTGGTGGCCAAACTTTGCACATAGGAATTTCATATTTTGTGGCTAACTTGTATACATTGGAAAATTCTTTGGTAGGTGGCCAAACTTTGAACATGAGAATTCCTTATTTGATCCCTAAAAAATTAGGTTATTTATAAGTTTAATCCTTAAAACTCAACTATAAATAGGCCTAAGTATTTCCATTAGAAATCATCCCAAAACAAGTTATCTCTTCCATTTGTTTTCTTTATTCTCTCACTTTGGGAATTCTAAAGAATTCTATTCGTTGTAATATTTTGTTGATAGTGAAGTTATCATCCGGTGTGGTGCCCGAGGAGTAGACGATATTCTCGTTGAACCTCGTAAATTTGGTGTGTTCTCTCATTTATTGTTTTTATTCGGTTTTTTCCATTGTGTTTCAATATTCAATAATTTGACAGGTTTATCCGCTGTGCAACCTTTGGTGCTTTTGATCTTGACATTCTAGGTCAATTTTGAAACTACGTTCGTGTGGGAAATAACCCGATTTTCCCAACAATTTGCATCAGAGCTTCGGTTGAGGTTATCCTGGTGGTTCCGTTACTAAAAAGATATAGTTCGTGATATTGAATATTGTTCGTTAGAATCAAAATGCCAAAATATGGATCAGTTGAGACATCAAGCTCTTCATCTGGACCGGTGAGGAGGGTGATGTCAAATGCAAATTTTTCGGTGGAGTTGTTCGATGGATCCGATCATTTTGGCATGTGGCATGGCAATGTGTTAGACGCTTTATTCCAACAAGGTCTAGACATCGCCATTGAGGAAGAAAAACCCGAATATATAGAGGAGAAAGAATGGGGAACAATCAATCATTTAGCGTGCAACACGATTCGATCTTGTCTTTCCAGGGAGCAGAAGTATGGCTACAAGAACGAGACTTCTGCAAGTAAGATGTGGAAAGCATTGGAGGAAAAATTCCTAAAGAAAAGCTCTTAGAATCGTCTCCACATGAAGAAAATATTGTTCAGATTTGATTATCAATCAGGCACCAGTATGAATGAACACATCATTGCGTTCAATGAGCTAGTGGCAGGCTTATTGGGCATGGATGACACCTTCAAAGATGAAGATTTGGCCTTGATGTTGTTGTCATCTCTTCCAGATGAATTTGAGTACCTTGAGACAATGTTACTTTATGGTAAGGATAATGTTACCCTTAAAGATATAACTTCTATTTTGTATAGTTATGAGCTCAGGAAGAAAACCAAGAAGGAGAGCAAGTACGAAGCAGCGGAGGCCATGGTGGCAAGAGGTAACTCGAAACGTCAAAAGACAAAGTGGAGAGGGAGATTAAAGTCGAAGTCCAGACTGGGAAAAGATGAATGTGCCTTTTGTCATGAGAAAGGCCATTGGAAGAAAGATTGTCCGAAGCTGAAGAAAAAATGAAAAGCTGCTCCAGATGCATGTGTTACAGAGCATGATGCAAATGACTCTGACATATCATTGGTTGCTTCATCAACAATATTTCATTCAGATGAATGGATATTAGATTCGGGTTATACCTATCATATGTCCCCTAATAGGGAATGGTTCTCCGATTTAGTATAACTAAATGCAAGAGTTGTTTATATGGGCAATGATAATGCCTGTAAAACTGTTGAGAAAGGTTTAATTCGATTGAAGAATCAAGATGGATCAACCAGAGTTCTGACTGATGTCCGGTACTTGCCCAGTTTGAAGAAAAATCTCATCTCGTTGGGAGCCTTGGAATCCAAAAGCTCAGTAGTCACTATGAAAGATGAAGTTTTAAAAGTCACATATAGCGCACTTGTGATAATGAAGGGCATCAGAAAAAATAATTTGTATTACTACCAAGGTAGTACAATTATTGGAGCAGATGCAACAACTTTTGGAGGTGATGATTTGGACGCAACCCAGTTGTGGCATATGCGGTTGGGATATGCTGGAGAGAAATCCTTGCAAATTCTGGCAAAGAAAGGATTGTTGAAAGGTGCAAAGGCTTGCAAATTGAACTTTTGCGAGCATTGTGTTATTGGAAAGCAGAAGAGAGTGAAGTTTGACACCACTATACATAATACAAAAGGTATTGTGGATTATATACACTCAGATGTATGGGGTCCTTCAAAGACATCGTGTTTGGGAGGAAACCATTATTTTATAACTTTTGTAGATGACTTTTCCAGAAGAGTTTGGGTGTATCTGATAAAGTCTAAAGACGAAGTGCTTCAAATTTTTCTTAAATGGAAAAATATGATCAAGAACCAGACTGGTAGAAAGATCAAACGTCTTAGGACAGACAATGGAGGGGAATATAAAAGTGACACATTCTTTGACGTTTGCCATGAGTATGATATTGTTCGACACTTCACTGTTAGAAATACACCACAACAGAATGGGGTTATAGAGCGTATGAATCGAACATTATTGGAGAAAGTTCGATGTATGTTGTCTAATGCTGGGTTAGGCAAGGCATTTTGGGCTAAGGCAGTGACATATGCTGGCCGTCTCATCAATCGTCTGCCGTGAGGAAAAACACCATTGGAGGTATGGCCTGGAAAACATGTTGCTGATTATGATTCCTTACATGTATTTGGATCCACTGCATATTATCATGTGAAGGAATCCAAGCTTGATCCGAGAGCAAAGATGGCTCTCTTTATGAGAATCACCCATGGAGTAAAGGGATTCTACCTTTGGTGTTTAGATACCAAGAAGAAAATTTTTAGCAGAGATGTTACCTTTGATGAATCTTCCCTAGTAAAGAAGGTAACTAATGAAGCTGTCCAAACAAGTAGTACTCCGCAGCAGGTGGAGCATACTTCAAAACAAGTGGAGTTTCAGCAGACGATGATCCCAGAAGTTGATGCAACTGATTCTTCAACTCCAATAGAAGAATCAGAAGATGAAGAGGTTCAAACCCAAGAACCATTGGTGACACCAGAACTACTTGTAGTTACAAGGCCAAGGAGAGAAATTCGTAGACCTGCTCGATTTGTTGATATGGTGGCCTATGTTATTCCAATTATTGATGATGATATCCCTATCACTTACCAAGAAGCAATACAAAGCTTGAAAAGTTGTAAGTGGAAAAGTGCCATGGATGAAGAAATACAATCTCTCTAAAAGAACAACACTTGGAAACTGACACAATTACCGAAAGGTAAAAGGGCAATTGGATGCAAGTAGGTATTTGCAAAGAAAGATGGATCTTATAGCAAGAAAGATGTTCGCTACAAGGCACGGTTGGTAGCTAAAGGCTACGCTCAAAAGGACGGAATCGACTAAAATAAAGTATCTTCCCCTGTTGTGAAGCATTCCTCCATTAGAATATTGTTGGCCTTGGTAGCACAGTTGAATTTGGAGCTAGCTTAACTTGATGTAAAGACGATTTTCTTGCACGGTGATTTATAAGAGGAGATCTATATGACTCATCCAGAAGGATACAAAAATGGTGGTTGTGAGAAATGGGTTTGTAAGCTGAACAAATCGCTATATGGATTGAAGTAATCTCCGAGACAATGGTACAATTGATTTGATAGCTTTATGAGGAGGCAAAAGTACACTAGAAGCAAATATGATTATTGTGTCTATTTGCAAAAGCTCAAAGATGAATCTTTCATTTATCTTATCTTGTACGTTGACGATATGTTAATCGCTTCGAAGAGTCAAAAGGAGATAGACAAATTAAAGGCTCAGTTGAATCAAGAGTTTGAGATGAAAGATCTAGGTGAGGCCAAGAAGATTCTTGGTATGGAGATAAGAAGAGATAGACAGAGAGAGAAGCTTTGTTTAACACAGAAACAGTATCTGAGAAAGGTATTACAATGTTTTGGCATGAATGAAAATACCAAACATGTAAGTATCCCACTGACTTCTCATTTGAACTTAGTTCTCAATTATCTCCTAAAACTAACAAAGAACGAGAGTATATGGCAAAAGTTCCATATGCTAATATAGTTGAGAGCTTGATGTATGCAATGGTGTGTACGTGTCCTGACATTTCACAAGCAGTTGGAATTGTGAGCAGGTACATGCATGATCTTGGAGAAGGACATTGGCAAGTTGTAAAATGGATTCTACGGTATCTCCAACAAACCGTGGATGGTGGTTTAGTTTTTGAACATGATGAAGCACTTGGTTAGTGTGTGGTTGGATATGTTGATTTCGATTATGCTGGTGATTTGGATAAGCGTCGATCAACTAATGGGTATTTGTATACTCTTGCTAAAACCCCAGTAAGTTGGAAGTCTACATTGCAATCTACGGTGGCCTTGTCTACTACAGAGGCAGAATACATGGCAGTTTCAAAGGTTGTAAAGGAAGCAATTTGGCTTAACATGCTGATGGAAGACTTGGGAGTTGTTCAAAGTCACATTAGTCTCTATTGTGACAGTCAGAGCGCTATTCACTTAGCGAAAAATCAAGTCTATCATTCAAGGACTAAGCATATCGATGTGAGGTATCACTTTGTGCGGGAGATCTTTGAAGAAGGAAAGATTCTACTCCAGAAAATTACGGCATCAGAAAATCTTGCAGATATGATGACCAAGGTTGTAACAGTAATCAAGTTCAATCATTGTTTGAACTTGATTAACATCCTAAAAGTATGAACACCTTTGGGTGTGTGGCGCTTGTGAGCGCAATTAGAGGCACTAAAAATTTGGGGAGTTGAAGAAGTTGAGTAGGCTTGGTAATTTCAAGCCAAGGTGGAGATTTGTTAGATTTGGCTTGAAATTAAGTTGGCAAGTTTGAAATTTCATCTTGGTTGGTGGCCAAACTTTGAACATGGAATTTTATATTTTGTCGCTAACTTGTACACATTGGAAAATTCTTTGGTAGGTGGTCAAACTTTGAACATGGGAATTTCTTATTTGATCCCTAAAATATTATGTTATTTATAAGTTTAGTCCTTAAAGCTCAACTATAAATAGGCCTAAGTATTTCCATTAGAAATCATCCCAAAACAAGTTATCTCTTTCATTTGTTTTCTTTATTCTCTCACTTTGGGAATTCTAAAGAATTCCATTTGTTGTAATATTTTGTTGATAGTGAAGTTATCATCTGGTGTGGTGTTCGAGGAGTAGACGATATTCTCGTTGAACCTCGTAAATTTGGTGTGTTCTCTCATTTATTATTTTTATTCGGTTTTTTCCATTGTGTTTCAATATTCAATAGTTTGACAGGTTTATCCACTGTGCAACCTTTGGTGGTTTTGATCTTGACATTCTAGGTCAATTTTGAAACTACGTTCGTGTGGGAAATAACCCGATTTTCTCAACAGAGAATTCAGGCTTGAATATTTGAGGTATGGGTTCCATTGTTAAATTTTCAGCTTTGAGAAATTTATAATCTTGATTAGAGTAGATGTGACCTTCATTCAAGAAACATAGAAGGAGTGCTTGCGAAATTTATATTTGCGGTCTTAAGTCTTTTCTGGGAGGAGCTTTGAGTGCTTAGGAATATGTTGAGCAGGGTGTTAGCTTTGGTTTTTAATGTGTTTAGGATTTGCAGTGAATTGATTGTTCTGTTGTTGAAGCTATGAGTTCGTGGGATGTCTTTGATTTCATAATGATTTTGGTTAGTGGGGTGGTGGAATGATAAGCTCGAGCTTTGTTTAGGTGGCGTATGACTTTTTAACTTTTCTATGGATTAAAGTTATAGTGTGGGGGGGTCAAAGCTCAGACTATTCTGGTTCTGCATAGTGATCCATGGAGAAATCGTTTTTGCAATTCTTGTGTGTTACTGGTTTTAGTCCATGATTTCTCATGGTCATGGTTGGGTGAATTTAATCCTAGTTTGGATCTTTCTTTGGTGGAATGTGATCTTTTTTTAGTGGAGTGTGATAGTGCTTCATCTTTGAAGCGTGTCAACCATGAGCAGTAGTGGCATGGTGTTCTTATTATCTACTGCATACTCACTCAATGGAATGATCCTGATGTGCGAGGGTTGTTGTTTGGGCCACCATTGGCCTTGGAGGTAGTGGATTAGCTTTGAAGTGATCGATCGTTTGGTTTGCACAATATGATAGTTGCATTTTGATTCTTAAAAAGTTTTGATTGATTCAAAGCTTGGTGGTTATAGTAAGTTTTAAGGTTGTTTTGGAAGCTTAAAGGGGCTATTGCTGTTGTTGGGTTAGAGTTGTGTTGTAATCCGTTTCATTTGTGGTGATTTGGTTGAAGTTGTATGGTTTGCTTCCGGATTATGTTGTACTTTTTTCCTCCACTTAGGATTATGGAGGTTTCTAACGAGGCTTACAATTTGGGATTTATCATTGTTTTGCTTAAATGAAAAAAATTAAATTTGCTGAGAAAAATAAATAAATTATAGTATATATTACATTTTCAGTTGTACCCATCTTTTTTAGGAACATGAATTACAATCATTATCATCGAATTAAAACATTAGTCATATGATTGTATTCTATTAGGCGACATGTACAGCTATGGCATCATTTTTAATGGAGTTGTTTACTGGCAAAAGACCCACCGACAGTTTGTTTACGGAAGAGTTGAGCCTACGTGAGAATGTAAAGACGGTCATGCCTGATCATGTGGTGGAGATAATTGATGCAAGGCTCAATTTTAAAGATGAAGCAGCCTTCATTCAAAATGGCCAAAGAAGAAGCATCGACAACACTGTGAGATGCTTGGGCTCGGTGCTTAGCATAGGCGTTTCTTGTTCGAATGATTCACCGAGTGAACGAATGAACATCAGAGATGTGCTGAGAGAACTCCAGAAGGCTAGAAATGGTCTTCTCGGAGATCAAAGGAGAAGAGCGTTGCAAGCTTCAGTGCATCAAAGGGGACATTAGAAAGTTGTACCAAAAATAAAAGTGTTAAATATGGCTTTAGTCTTTCTCGTATGGGAGAATTTCAAATACAATTCTTGAATGCTATGCTGTTGAAGCTTGGATTTGATCTGAATTGAGTTTCCCTCATTATGACCTAAATTTTATATGGCATTCGAATCACTCTATCATATTGTTTTCAGCTTACATGGCCTTCGGCAATGCGACCCATTATCTCCTTTCTTCTTTGCGTTGTGCACGCAAGGTTTGTCTTCCTTTCTTAAGTCTGAGCAGCAGGATTGTTATATTCATGTCACACATCTCCTTTTTATGCGGAAGCCAACCTTTTGTTCTTGTGCAATTCCGAGAGCGAGGTTCTCCATCTTCGAGGGGTATTGAATGTCTAGGAAGCTTCATCCGAACAAAAGGTAAAATATGTTAAATCAAGCATTTATTTTAGTCCTTCTACCTCGCCGGAGACTCGTGTGCATCTATCTGGTATCTTAGGAACAACAACAATTCCTTTAATGATATATTCTTATTAAAATCTACAACGCCAACAAAATTAAAGATAGGTTCTTTTATTATCATAGAAATTTCTCCACTCTTTGTGCCCATCAATCCATCTCAACCTAAAAAACTATATAACATCTCATCCATTTTATGTCTTTGCTTTAACTGATAACCAGCTACAAGGCCAGATCCCTCCTTACATAGGCTTGACCCTTCCTAATCTTGAGGGCCTTTATCTTGGGGTAAACAAGTTTTCAGGACCAATTCTGACCTCAATAGTCAATTCCTCAGGGCTCCAGACACTTGATACGGGTTTGAATTCTTTGTCAGGACCAATACCAAAGAATTTGGGAAGCCTTCAAAATCTAGAAAACATCAACTTAGGTGGCAACTTCCTTGAGAGTTCCAATGATTAAAGTTTTCTCACTTCATTGACTAATTGAACCAATCTTAGTAAATTATGGTTGGCCGAAAACAACCTCACAGGTGTTTTGCCTGATTCAATTGGAAATCTCTCTGCAAATCTCAACCAATTACAGATTGGAGCCAACTCCATATCAGGTGCCATACCAAAAGAGATAGGAAACCTTGTAGGCTTGGAGTTCCTTGATTTAGATGAAAACATGCTCACAGGCTGTATCCCTGTTTCTATTGGAAAATTTTCCAAGTTGAAATATTTCTATGCTTACACAAATAGAATCACAGGGGAAATTCCTCATTCTTTGGGAAATATGACCCAACTAACTATTCTAAGAGTATCTTATAATTTGCTAGAAGGAGGCATACCTGCATCTTTAGGTAACTGCATTCGCTTGGAAGGATTGGATCATTCGCAGAATTGTCTGAACGGCACAATACCAAAGGAAGCTATCAGCCTCTGTTCCTTCTCAAGAATCCTTTCCTTTGCTTTAAATAGTTTAACGGGAACTTTACCAGCAGAGGTTGGAAACTGCAAAAATCTCAACATTTTGGATGTATCAAGCAAAAAACTTCATGGGGAAATTCCAAGCTCATTTGAAAACTGTGTGATGCTCGAATCACTTTACCTGCAGAGGAACTCTTTTGAAGGAACTATTCCTTCTTTGTTCTGAAAATTAAGAAGCTTGCAAGATTTTGATGTTTCCCACAATAATTTGTCAGGCCAAATACCCGAGTTTCTGGGTGAACTTCCTTTTTTCATTAATCTCAACCTGTCTTTTAATAGCTTCCAAGGCAAAGTGCCTACGACAGGAGTGTTCGACAACATCAGTGCGTTCTCAGTCATTGGAAACAGCGAGTTATGCGGAGGGATTAAGCCACTTCGATTGCCTACTTGTCAGACAGAAATTGCAAAGAAAAGGAAAAACTTCCCACGTAGAGCGATAATTGTGACCTGCATTGTCGTTTTTCTTGTTTTGTTCTTGATATGTCTTTTCACAATCAAACGACGGGTCAGCTTTTCAAAAAAGAAAGAGGGAATTGCCAGCCCATCAGAGAAGAAAAATCTTAAACTTTCCTTCGCCGAGCTCCTCAATGCCACTGACAATTTCTCTTTAGCCAACTTGATTGGTAAGGGAAGATATGGTTCAGTTTATAAAGGGATTCAAAGTTTGACGATCAAACAACAGTTGCTGTGAGAGTACTTAATCTTCAACAGAGGGGTGCCGACCGGACTTTCAAGGCTGAATGTGAAGCCCTTAGGAAGCTTGGGCATTGGAACCTCGTCAAGGTCATTACTTCTTGCACAAGCATTGATTTTCAAGTAAATGACTTCAAAGCCTTGGTGTTCGAGCTCATGTAGATTGGGAGGTTAGAAACTTGGTTACATCCAAGTTCAATGGAAGTATACAATTCACGAAGTTTAAATCTAATTCAGGGGCTCAATATTTCCATTGATGTAGGTTCTGCATTAGATTATCTTATTCCCAATTTGACAGGCCGGTCGTCCATTGTGATCTAAAGTAGAGCAATATTCTTCTTGATGCTGACCTTACAGCCCGCATTAGTGATTTTGGCCTAACAAGGTTTCTTACGGAGACAACCGAGCAACGCAGTTCAACGGGAATAAGAGGAACAATGGGATATATTCCTCCGGGTAATTCCATTGCACATTAGCAAAGTAGGTGCATTTTTGTATTTGACCTAATGATATTCATCTTAATGATTACAGAATATGGAATGGGAAAGAAAATATCCACACACGGCGATGTGTACAGCTATGGCGTCGTTTTATTGGAGTTGTTTATAGGCAAAAGACCCAACGACTGCATGTTTACAGGAGTGTTGAGCCTACGTGAGTATGTAAAGACCGCCATTCCTGATCATGTGGTGGAGACCTTTGATACTAGGCTCAATTTTGAAGATGAAGCAGCCTTCAATCAAAATGGGCAAGGCAGCAGAGGCATCAGCAACATCGTGAAAAGGCTTGGACACGGTTCTTAGCATAGGAGTGTCTTGCTCGGATGATTCACCGAGTTAACGAATGAACATTAAAGATGTGCTGAGAGAACTTCAGAAGACTAGAAATATGCTTCTTGGAGATCAAAGGGGAAGAGCGTTGCAAGTTTCGGTGCATCAAAGATTACATTAGAAATTTGTACCAAAAATAAAATGTTAGAAATATGATATGTAGTATGCAATGCTGCTAAGCATTTCCATAGTCGGCGTTTTCTTAAATTAGATTAACTAAAAGGGCTAAATATGGTTTTAGTCTCTCTATTATGGTAAAATTTGAAATGAAATTTCTCTATCTTGACAAACTCTCCTATGATCAAGCACTACGGATAAATCCCTCAGCAAAGTAGCCTGTCACACTAGCTCTAACAGGTTTATGGCTATGAAAGAATTATGCAGACAGTTTATCCGGATTCGTTTTGACAGAATACTCAGTTACATTCAACAGCCTTCTTTCCTAGAGGTAAATCTATATCTATTGTACGATTATCATCAAGAGCCGATATCTTCTCATGCATAAGAGCATATCAATCAGGATCAGATAAAGCTGCTTTCACAATCATAATTACGAAAACAAAGTCGAAAGTGTTGGCCCGAGGGGATGAACATAACTGTCTTCTCACCAATAGACACAACATGGAACAGTGATAGGAATTAGGAAGGTTTTGAAAAAATTAAGATACGACTATTGAGCCTTCAATTTCTGTAGTTGCTTTCGGTTGTGGGGTCTGATGGCTTGGGCCATGATTTTGTTTTCAATCTCATTGATTTTAGCTTTTCTTTTGAAATTTTATGCTTCATTTGCCCCATCCCAATTCATCGATGAAACCAAACCAAATCTTACTAAAAACGGGGCATAGTAAAATATTTTAAACAAAAACGGAGCATAGTGCCTCGTAATATCCAAATAAAATAAGTACTCAAAGATCCATGATTTTAAACAAAATCTGAAAAAGGTCTGAAAATGCTAGGACAGTCTACTAAAGTATCACTAGAAAGTTCTTAAATATTGTGATTACTCACTCAAAGCAAGAAATGTACGCATGCAGTCTAGTATCGACCGATTCCCCAGACTCTGATTACACCATCTGTATAACCACTAAACAAGGTGCTTCCATCGGCACTCCAGTTCAAGCTTGTGCAGTATATCACCTGCAAATTCCATACAAAATTGAAATTTTTAATTGTTTGTATTCTTTTGTTTGCAATGCGATAAAATATAATTTCATCAACCCTGATGAGTGACGATACCAATTACTGAATTGAGAGCAACTAAAAAAGCAGAGTCAAAACAAGAAATAGAACAGGAAATAAACCAATCCAGAGCTATATAAACTTGCTTTATGTAAAGCTTTTAACTTTATGACTTGAGGGGAGAAAAATAGAGCAGATTTCAGAGTAGGAATTCTCCTCTGGGTTATCGTAATGACAAAATTCAAAGCTTTAAACTAAACAAGAAGCATGATGACGTTTACAAATGCAGCTTTAATATGAAACATGAATATGACTAATTGTTAAATAACATCCACAAAAATTACAATATGTGCAGAAGTAAATAAATTTTTGGGAAAATGTAGATGATTTCTAAAAGGGAAAATAAACAATCAACGATGAAGGGTAATTAAAATTAAAATGCTTCTCTGGATAGATTGATTGTAATTAAAATGCTTGTCTGGATAGAGTTATTGTAAATAGTAGTCAACGAGCAGCTAAACTCTATATGCTCAGCATATACAGATGAATAACAAGAAATCTCCATCATCATAGATCAAAAGTCAATCCAATTTTTTTTAGGGATCAAACTCAGGACTGGACCGGTGTCAACCTAATATTAAATCGTTTGACACTAATCCAATCAGATTCTTAGGATTCCATTGAAACTATAAAGAATCATGGTAAAGCTACGCAGCACGTAAAGTTCCATACAATCTATGACATTGAACTTAAAAAACAATGGATTGATATCAAACAATGGAAAATGCATAAAAAATGACTTTACAATGAATTAAACATATTATAAGACTTTGAAAGAGCAGTGATTTTACCTTCTTCTTGTTTGCATTATCGGTGACATCAGATTTCTCCGCCTCGGCCTTGAGATCAACCTTCAAGTCCTCCAAAATGCTCTTACTCTCCAGATCCCAGATCTTGATACTCTGCTCAGTAGCAGCGCAAAGCCAGTACCTGTTTGGACTAAAGCAAAGTGAGTGAATGATCGATCCAGCTTCGAGACTGTAAAGCTTCTTTCCTTCAGCCAAATCCCAAAGCAGAACCACTCCGTCTTTTCCTCCACTAGCACACAAAGACCCATCAGGTGAAACAGCCACGGTGTTCACATAACCGTTGTGTCCGGCCAATGTGTTTCGAATCTTGCAATTGGTCAAATTCCAAACTTTCACAGTCTTATCCCATGAAGCTGAAACAATGGTGGGCTGGAGCGTATTCGGGCTGAAACGAACACAGCTAACCCAATCGGTATGACCATCACCATCTTGGATAGTGTATTTGCACTCCCCGAGTGTGTTCCAAAGCTTGATGCTTCGATCACGGGAAGCCGAAACAATCTGACGGTTGTCAATCGAAAAGGCAACGGAAAGCACATCTTTGGTATGGCCGACGAAGCGACGAGTGGAGGTTCCGGCGTTCAAGTCCCAGAGACGAAGCTCACCGTCCCATGAACCGGAGAGAGCGAACTGGGAATCGGAGGAGAGGACAACGTCTTGAACGAAATGAGAATGGCCGGTGAGACGGCGGCGAGCGACACCGAAGGTATTTTCGTCTTTGGTCAAGTGCCAGAGGATGATGGATTTGTCGCGGGAGGAAGTGACTATCATGTCGGAGTTGTCGATGGGGGTGGCGATGGCGGTGACCATGTCGGTGTGCGCTCGCATGGTGCCGCGGAGAACCAATCCCTCGGAAGCCATTGTCGTTGGCGAGGCGGCGGGAACTTAGGGTCTCGAAGAATCTGAAAGGATAAAGGTAAAAGCTTGGGAAACGAAAATGAGTGGGTATAATAAGTATATATAGTAAGGCTGTATATACGAATTAGGGTTTCGCTTCGCTTGTTGGGAGTGGAACTTAGTTAAAAAGTTGAACCAACCCGGTCGATGTAACTTTCGGACATGTATTGAACCATGTGACATCTGTGATAAAGATGAATGAAATTCGATTCGACTTAAAAAATTAATTTTTATTTAATTTTAATTAATTTTTAGTTATAATTTTATAAATTTGATTTGAAATTTTTTTAAGTTTAATTCATGTTGTAAGGTACAACTAATAACTTGAATTTTTTAATAATTAGTATATTAATTTTTAACTTTGATTCGAATTTTGAATTAAGTCCCTCGATTTTATATAGTATATGTAAATTACATATAAAAAAAATATATATATGTATTGTATGTGATTATAAAATATCATTTAAATTAAAATCAAATAATATCACACTATTGTAAATATTTACATTAAAATTAAATAGAAACTCGAAAATTTAATTTACTCAACTTAAAACAAATTGAAATTAACTCTTAGTTATAAAATAGAACTCATCAATTTGAATAATTTAAAATTTTTTATTCGACTCGATCGTACGTGTGGTTAGAGGTTTGTTATTATTCCTTATTGTCGTTATCAAAACATCACAAATGTAAAAAATATGAGTTCCAATATTAAATCAACGAGAATTAAAAAAAATTCAAACAAAATCTAAAATATTAATTGTTAATTATAATCAAATAATTTATTTGTTAATGTTTTTCGAGATTATCTTTCTCTTATGATATTGATTTGAACTTTTGATCATACCCAAGAAGTGTGAGGATGGATTGTTGACGGAGAAGGAGAAGGCGAGGAAGAGGCAGGAGCTGGTGAGTGGGAGAGTTGAAGAAGAAGATGATGCTAAAGAGAAGAAAGGGAAAGGGGAAGGGGAGGAGAGATCATTTTTCTATGTTCTTGATGGAAGCTTAAACTGTTCGTTTTGCATGCAGCTACCTGAAAGGCCTGTTACGGTTCGTTTTTTCTTCTCTTGTTCCCCCCAATGGTACTCTCGAGCAATTTCAAGCTAATTAACTGTGTAGAATCTTATATTTTTAGTTTAATATTATCTATTTTTCTGTTCAAATCGTTTCATTGGTGAAAATTAATTACTTCTGAGCTTAAATCTTTTATACGCACCTTTAAAAGGCCATCTAGTTTGCAATAATAAGCGATGCTAGCATAGGATGCTACTATTTTGAGTCTGCAGCTTTAAAAGGGCATCTAGTCGCATTTCATATACGCAGCTTAAATCATTTTAGTGGGTTTTATATCCTTCAAGGATGATATCTAAATATCTACTGAATTCAGATGATTTTGTTTCATCTTCAAAGTTGCAAAGTGTTTTACTTTACCTTTGATGGGCTAGGCAGTTAGATCATTCCTTTAAGGATGAAATAGTCGCCTGTTTGTGCATGTCAAATGATGATATCTGTCTAATTCATGTTGCTTCAGACACCTTGTGGCCACAATTTCTGCCTTAAATGCTTCCAGAAATGGATAGGCCAAGGGAAGTGTACTTGTGCGAAATGCCGCTCGACAATTCCCCCTAAAATGGCAAGTCAGCCCCGTATTAATTCGACGCTTGTTTCTGTTATCAGAATGGCAAAGCTATCGAAATCAAATGCTGCTGTGGGGCCTCTAAAGGTTTACCATTTTGTACATAACCAAGATCGACCTGACAAGGCTTTCACTACAGAGAGTGCACAGAAAGCTGGGAAAGCTAATGCTGCTAGTGGGAAGATATTTGTGACTGTACCACCTGATCATTTTGGACCAATCACAGCTGAAAACGATCCTGCTAGAAATCAGGGTGTGCTTGTTGGTGAATGTTGGGAAGACAGATTTGAATGCCAGCAATGGGGTGCTCACCTTCCACATATCTCAGGTATTGCTGGTTAGTCACAATACGGTGCTCAATCCGTGGCTCTCTCAGGAGGGTATGAGGATGACGAGGATCATGGGGAGTGGTTTCTTTACACAGGAAGGTTAGTTGCAAAGGGCTACACATATTAGTATCATGATATCTCATCATTTTCATTTCACATGCTTATAAAACGAAAGTGCATTGATGACAGTTTATTTGAGTTGATTGTGATGCTTTGTTACCACTTACCATATAAAACTTT